CTTAAAAAGTAGCTTCTCAAAGTACTTCGAAGATGATTCGGGCCTGTGAATTATCTACCTGAATAAGCATAATCTGGCACAGTGAAGAAAAAGCATGGGCAGCAGGTGGTTGGGGACTTGAAGCTAGATCAAGCTTGCGTAGGTGTATACACGCGAGAAGCATTGCTGCAGGCTAAAGGAAATAGCTTGTGTAATCAATTACAATAGCATTTCTATTTTATAACTCTAAGGTGCACTGCAGTCGAAATATATAAAACTCCAATTTTACCAGAAGAGATTACATATGTTTTAGTTTATGCCTGAACTTCTTCCACCTTTTGGGAAGGGCCAGTTACTCAAAAGATATTTTATTACCCTTTTAGAAACATAAAATAACTCTACAGGCATTTGAAATACAGTTAACAAATTAATGAGTATTTCTGCACGACATGTTATTATAAACCTGTGGTTTTTATTTATTTTAATAGTGATTGTTTTGCTTAACAACCAGATTGCGTGAATTTTAGATAAAAAGCTATGATTAGATTTTATTACTTATTTTTGGAGTTTTGTGCAGGACGTCATGTCTATGGGCACACACTGATGGCAAAGGTTTAACCTCAGAAAAAGAACACAAAGAACTGCACCCTATTAGAGTAAGAGTTGACAAACAAGAATTAAAACAGTAAAAACACTTTAAACAGTTAAAAGCAAATACAAAACAGGCTGTTTATGGATTATCCAGTCAGGACAGTATGAAGCTGGCTGATTTCACAATGTGCTTTCACTCAAGGCATATCTGCAGTTGCGTGAGAGATTTCCATATCTCACACACTCTTGTAAATCACAATTGAACAGTAGTAACTCAAAGAATGAACTCAAAACATGTCTGTTTTCAATTTCAGAGCAAATGTCTTGCCAAGACTGGGGCTGATTCAGAGACCACCCTTTGGTAGAGCGAGACTTTACTGGCCAGATCACCTCAAAATACTTTAAGATTCGGCTTCCCTCGTCACGTTATACACCAGCAGCCAGAATGACTCTGCAGCCACTGGCTCCCTGCCCTGAAAAATCGGGAGGGTTCTTTTACCTAAATGTTCTGCAATGACACCACCACTGTGTTACCCCAGAAGGCTGTGATCAATAATCCACAGAAGTGCTACCTACAGTAGGTCTCGAGAGTCAGGAAATTGTGAATTGAAAACCACTTCATTCATGTGGTTTTTACATTAACACAAACTTAACTTTGCCATCTTACTAAACAACCCTGGGAGGATGTTCTCAGATTTTTGTGAAACTCAAATAATATGCTTTTGTGTCATGCATGAACAGAAAAAGAACAGATTCATTTTAAACAAAGAGGAATTTAAAAAATGTAGCGTGAAGAACAAAATTAAGCATGGCAGTAGATATTGTGCATAGAGCCACAGTAACACCATAAATTAACTGCTCAACAATTTGTAGAAAAATAGAACTTGACTGGCAAATTTGGCAAGAAATGACTGGAAATCCATTTACCCCAGTCTTTCTTTGCTTTAGGACAGCCTGTTTGGGTGCTTGATGACAGGTATGCTCTGTTAGTTAATAGGAGCTCAATTTTCAGTAACTTGTTAGATCAGCTCATACTTTAAAATGCAACGTTTCCAGCCTTGCTATAAGACAGAATGGATTGTTGTTGTCAGCATTCAGGAACAAGATATTCTAGACAACTTTGAGTGAAATCTCTCAATAGCAGATTTTTTACAGGTATTGTTTAATTCTGACATACACAAAGACGTCTACATCTGATAATTCTTTGTGAGTGGCACATTACAGTAACCTACTGAAATAGCTGTACTGATGCAGTGTAAGGATTGGAAGTCTTGCTCTAAGAATTATTTTAATAACACTATAAGTGAAACCTTTCATATGAAATAAACCTGAACACTATTGCCCTTTATTGTGCATGCTGTCAAGGTAGGCTATGTTTTTACACATTCTCCAGTAGTCATTCCTTTGCTCCAAATAACTAATGTCAGGAGAAGGGAAAACTACTGTTGAGAAACGTATACAAGCATACTTCAGGCATAAGTAAATATATTCTAGTGACACCAGATATCAAATCTTATCTGTTGTTATTCGTTAAAAAAGAAACTGGAAAAATCCAACTTTGTTTTGGATAATCCTCTTTCCTGGGAGTAATATTGGCTTTTGCATCTGTGTTCAAAAAGCAGTTTCAGAGTGTGCCTGTGTACTTGGGATTTAAAGGCACTTTACTAAAAACAAGAGAAGAGCTGTATAACAATTGAGAATGATGAAAATCTGAGTGACTCTGTGGCCAGGGACAGCAGGCAGGATTACATCAGCACAAGGAGAACTAGAGGTGTTATCGGGGGTTTTATTTTTTTGCTAGTCACTCACCATGCTGTGTGTTCTGACTGAGGATGCTGCTGCAGAGCTGGGCTGGGGTGATGGCCAGACTCTGACAAATTTCCTCTCGGGTGTAAGTCTCTGGGTGCAAGACCTCTTCCACTGTCTTCAGCATCTCCTCCAGTGAAACTCCCAGCTCTGTCTGCACATCCCCCAGCTTCTGCAGTCTGCTCCAATCCAGGCCTTTTGCCTTAGACAGAAGCTGAAAATATACACATTAAGTTATGCTATTTTTATGCCTGTATTTATTATGATGTGGGTTACAAAAAAATGTAAAAAAATACATTTGCATTCCCAAATAAGGTCTTCATTTACTTTGAAGGACAAATAAGATTCGTCAAGAGATAAGACAGGAAGAATTCCATGTCAAAAATTCATTCGAGGTGACTGGTTCACCCAATGAAAACATATCAAAACAGGCCAGACACTCTGGCTAAACAATGCAAAATTAATCTTCAAAAAAGCTACAGAAAGGAAGCAAAACAGCACATTTTTCTACTTCTCTTTGTCCAATATGTTTAGATGAAAATTCTTTGTTAGGAAATATCCTGTGGTTCATAGAATTCCCTCTCCTGGTTGCATGCAGCATTTGGATGTATTTTTTTAGAATTCCAAAACCCAATAGAACTTGATCCTATATAGAATGACCAACATTTCAGTTTGAAACTAACAATTTATTTTCTTGTCTTAGTCTAAATCCCCCCAAATAGCTTTCTAAATAAAATTAAACAACAACAATCAAACTAATTACATGTGGCTATGTCTGAGTGGCATGGCAGAAAACATACATTCCTCAGAAATAAAAAATACTGTACTCATTTTGTAATGCTTGAGTGCAAAATTAGTTCAATATTAAAGTACTAAAATCTATTCTTAAAAAGCTGGCTATTTAAAAATGGATCCTAAAAATATTATATACAGTAAAATATTCTTAACTAAAAGTCTCTCATTTTGTTTCATGCAGTGTTACATTTCTCTTACAGTCACTATAATGATTACTGTAAGTTATGCTGAAAGTAAATAAAACTTAAATGAGATGCTGCAAATTACTACACTGAAAAACTAAACTTCTGACTTTTAGCACTTTTTTACTACTTTTAACACTAGCACTAAGTTTTTGTGTGCTAAGTTTAGTGACAACATATCAGATTAGATTTCCGAACGCATGTAGACAATTCCCATGAACATATCGTCTAACCTGAGGTGTAATGCATTCAAAAGTTCTTAACGCTGTAGCAGACCAGCCAGCTACACCACAGGACAGTCAACTGTTTGTCTCACCAAGCTGAATGTGCATGTTATCTCAGGCTGTCACAGTCTCCTCTTGACTGAAGTCTGGCCTCAAGGATGTGGTATGGTAAGACATATTGAGAGAAAGCTGCAGACACATTCTTGGTTGAAAGCTGGTATACGCAGTGGCTGCCTATATCTCTGGCACCCACTACCACTGATCTGTGGCAACATAAATAAACACACACCAAGACCATGGAGACTGTCTCCAATGAAGTCAATTATCCTTTGTGAACCATTCAGCCTGTTAATCTTCCATCAAGTATTTAGAGAAAAAAAACTGCCACAAAATGTCTGATAATATCCGACTAGCAACGTAAAACCAAGCACGTCCGCGACGTTCTTTTTAAGGCTTGCTGTGACCGAACAATTGAAAATCGCCTGGTACTGTACTTGTCAGTCCTGTGTTACTACTGTGAGCAACCTGCCGCCCACCCTACGGCAGCGGGCACCGTCACGGCCCCCCGCAGCACACAGAGCTTCAAACGGAGGGGCAGCGCCGCTCTCGCCCGCAGGCACCCAGCGGTGCCCAGCGGCGGTCACTCCAGCCACCCAGAGACATCAGGGCAGCTCAGGCCCCCCCACACGGGCAGGGCTCTGACAGTTATGCCTGCTGCTGGGGGAAGCTGGATACCGATATGGCCAGACCTGTTCCTTTCCAACGTTTGTATTACAGAACACCATACTGAAACACTTACCTTTCAAAGTCAAAAGTTTATTTACCGGTTTCTTGGGGAGTTTCTCCATCTAAAGTCCATTAAAGTCCTAAAATTAAAGCTGCCTTTAGTTTCGGTCACAGTGAGAGACATGGGTCTTTAGCCTTTGAAAAGTTTTAAAAGGCGAATAACGTTTTTTTTTTAAATGGCAGGTGCTCACATTTTGGCTAGTTAAGAGGATTGCAATACCCACGTTGATGTAAATCCTCCAGGTGGTTTTTGATAAGATTATTTTGTGAGTAGAAAAAGTAGAAATGTTGAAAAGGAGCAAATCCAGATACAGACCAGACAGAATCAAGTCACACCTGTCAACATCAGTGCTCGGCCTTGGCTACAAAACAGCTATTGGTTGACCCTGTGATGCAATTTTAATTTGACAAATTATTAACCATTCAACATGTCTAATGCAGAATGCATCACTGCACTGTACCATTTTTTTAACACGTAATATCCTTCATGTTAAATATAATTGTTTTCTGATTAGAATTGTATCCTTTTTCTCCTTCTCAATTCTGATGCTGTGAGGAATTATGATTCAGTTTGCTACAAAAAAGATTGAAAAAAATACAGTTTCCCAGTGGTGGTTAGTATGACGACAGACTTGCCAAAATCTACAAAAAGATTTAGATTACACATTCAACCTGTTGGATTTTTCCCCACAAGTTTGAAGACATCTACACCAAGACTTCTCCTTCATCACTTCTCAGTGGCTCCATGGGGACCTCATTAACATATTAAACTCAGACCAGTTGTTTTACAACATCTTCACATTATATTTCTTTTCTGCATTGCTGAACTATGTGAGGTACAGAAAACACACCCTGCATTAAGCACGCTAAAATAGACTAAAAAAGTCCCTACACATTCCTGTTGAATTTAGAAGACAGAAAGGATTCCTGTAAAATTGTCAGTATAAAGGACAGTTATTTTTAAGAGCGTAAACATTTCTTCAAGTTTAATCAGTAACCTTTAATGCCTAAAATGCTTAATTAGATGTTCTAAAAATTGTAGAATAATAATATGCTTTAGATATTCGGAGTGCTGTGTGGTGCTCCCTCGGAGTTGAGACCTACTCATATCCTAGCAGACAGAAAGAGAGGTTACTGAGCTGTAATAAAAGTGCAGGTTCCAAGGCTACTAGACTAAGGTTAATTACAACTGTCTATTAGGGGAATATAATTTAAAGTGAAGTTAATTAAGCTTCATTTTCTCTCCATGGTTTTAGGTTTAGTAAACTAGTCCTTTTCATCAGATAAATATTTACATTTACTTCATAAAGATAATGGAGCACATTAAATTTTTTTCAAAAGACGCTAAAGCTAATATTATTTAATAGTTAAGTACAACGGCCAAAACTATTTGACACATCATTTCTGCAAGGACAATATTCTCTGGACCTTTCTTTTCCAGTACAGCATAATAAAGATTTTTTTGTTCTACCAAAGTTCAGTAAGAGAAATCTCTCGATCACGGCAAGAAGCCAAACAGCACTTCAACCGGAGCTAAAAAACCTTGTTCTTTCTTTATTTTTTGTATTTTACTCATATCTAGATCTTGTATAGGTGATGTGTGTACAACCTAAGGGTTTAAAATGAAAAACAATGTTTCCAAACATACTGTAGCCAGTCCAGGGCGATCTCCTCAATTAACAACCTGTCCATGATTCCTGTTGGCCAGGCAGGAGAGGGACAGACACAGTGCCCTACCATTTGAGCCACTGGGTCAACAGGTATATTTACATCCACACAAAGCTTCTGAGGTTCTGAAGAATCTAAATACATATGGTACAATGTGTCTATCAGTGCAACAGGTGGACATAAAGGCTTCAATATAAGTTCAATATAATATAAACAATCTGCAAGCTCAGTAGAATCGTGGGTGTTCTGTTGGGGCGACAGTGAGAAGGGCAATGGATTCAAAATAAGAGGTACTTCTTGTATTCTTTGGCTGCAGTAAGAAAAGAGCTGGATTAGATCCTTTGGATCACTTATATCTTGTTTGTAACTGTTTTTATGTTCTTAAAACCCTAATTACATTACAATCACCAGTTCTTGGTTTTGCATGCAATCTAGTATTTCTGTAGCTTTCATGTTTTACAGTGGAGAACAGAAAGGAGAAGCTAATTAGAAGCACCTGGGTCCCATGTCCCATTATCACCTAAAAAGCTGAAACAATAAACATTCTATAAGTCTATATTGACAACACCCTTTTGGGAAGCTATCGAACACATAAACTGTTATTGTTAGTTATTGTAAGCTGAACAGCTGATGGAATGTCCTACACTGTAGAGTCCATTATTGCAAATATTCCACTGATCTCTAAATAAACGGCTTAGTAGAGCCATGCCCTGTAATGACAGATTACTGTACTTTGTTTATTGAGAAATACCATTAGTGAGAAAGGAGATGTCAGATAAAAACAGACAAAAATGGAAAGTAGTGGTCAGAGATGTGAAATGAGCAAGCAAAGGCATTCTGGTTAAGTAGTAATTCATTAGTCATGAAAACTCCAGGTGGATCTATATTAAACAATCCAGTAATAAAGCAGTGCGTGTCATATTGTGGAAAACACCCAATTTAACAAGCAAAGTATTCAGGCTAATGTCTAACAACTGATTAAATAAATAGTCCTGCTGATTAAAATTACTTGAATTCTTTCTCAATAAAGACATTAAGAAGGATTTTAAAAAAACGCTAGTAAAGGTTACATCTTTTTTTGATATCCTTTAAACCTCCTAAGACTACTTACTGATTTTCCTGAAATGGTATTACATAAAGAGTGCCTGTTACAAAACAAAAACACTCAAGTGTACACTGTCTGCAGCATAATATGAATCTCACATGAAAAAGCGTGACTTATAAAATATTCAGAATCTGTATAATCAACTTACATTTAACTAAGTAGGAACAGAGGGCAGTGAAGCTTTGTTTTCCTTTCCATTTGCAAGTCTGGCACAGATTCAGGCCACCTTGAAGAATCTGAAAACCATTACCCTGCACTCATGGTCAAAAGTGCACCACATATAGGATATCACATGGCAGATTCTGACATTAAGAAGGAGTGTCTGAAAAATACAAATCAAATCTCGTGCAAGAACTCCAGGCTCAACCTCCCAAACCCACAGTATACCCCACTTCTGCTAATTTGCTCAATTACTAACAGCTCCAGTCTCGCTCACAAAGACATGTGTGGATACTGTGGAGAGGGCATCTCTGCAGAATGATGTAATTCGAATTTGATTAGGAACATGGCATACCTTTGCAGCTAGTCGGCACTCCACAACCCTGATGTTGAAATGAGAAGTTGCAGCCTTGTTCATTTCAACACAACAATTAGCGATCACGAAAACGGCCCCAGCTGGGAGTCTCACATCAGTCGCCCTCAGGGGGTTGAACTCAATTAGTTTTGCCTGCAAAAAATTAAAAATGGCATTGGTGATGAGTATGTACAGTATGTCCATTTTCAGCACATCCTTTACGAATTATCTATATACAGTACACACACAATTGCATTAATAGTTTTTACGGAAATGGTGACGCATACAAAGTGATTCACCAAAATGGATTATTTGCGTGTATTTTTGTCAATTTAGTTGAGTGTGACAGGGATGCGGTTTTCAGGTTTTTCACTTTCTCAGCAGCAGCAAAGCTACGTACAGTCCCCTGCTCTGCGAGGAAGGAGATGGACTGATCCATCCCGCCACCCTCCGTGCCAATATATCGCTCACAGCGCGCGCAGATCTCTGCCAGCTCCACCTGAAAAATAAAGAGGATGGGATGCAAGGCAGATGAGAGCTGTTATTAAATCTTGGTAACAAATTAAATTAATTTACATTCAAGAAACAATTTACACATTTCGAATTAAGCACACAATCATGTTCTTTGTGAAAGTACTGGAAGTCGCCATGTTGTCGCAAACTCACATTTGAGTTACCATGAACTGCGACGTGAAGCAGCCCTTCCTGCTCTTTAGTCTCCGTAATTAATTATTGAATGAGATGTACGAGCGAATAAGTACAGCCTGTGCAGCAGACATTTCACCGCAGAAAATGTTCCAACATCATCTGTATGCAGAGTTAAGAAGTAAGCAGTATTTGTCGGCAAAACTGTCTCAAAATCTAAAGCAAAATTTCTATTGGACTAAAAGCAATGTATTCAGACGTCTGCGTGTTTACAATGTCATAGGGCTGAACACATCACCAGAAGTTTTGTTGCCTCGGCCTGAATCGCAAAATATGGTGCTGCGCATACCGGGAAATTTCTTCTATTTAGTGATGTAAATTGCAGTTGTTACAAGTTATTATGTACATTTTACTTTTGTTGCAGTGTGAATTGCACTCATCAGTGCTGATTCTTTCTAACCCCAAATTTGTGAAAATAGCTTTGCAGTTCCCCTTTAATGCAGTGGCTGTAATGGTGGCTGTAAATGCAATAATTGCACCAACCTGCTGTATTGAAAACATACAAAATTGATTAGTGAAGAGCTGAACAAACAAGATTATGGGAAAAAGAAACCTATTAAATTCTGTCAAGTTAAGTGTTAGGTTTCCCCTCAAGGAGGGAATCAGAGTTCAGATCATAGTTTCTAAACCAATGTCACACTCTGGTGACCGGGAACACTCTGTTTTTCAAATGAGACATTGAACTGTGGTCCTGACGATTTTAAAGATCCTATTGCCGATTAGTGTAGGGGGTTAACCTGGTGTCCTGGCTAAATCTCCCCCTGAGCTTGCACAATCTGGCCTCCCTAACTAGCAGATCAGGCTTAACCTGACTAATATTAGAAAATGGACAACAAAGCTGTAAGAAATGTCTCTGGGAGAGTTAAATGGAAGGCGGAATGATTAATACTCATGCACATGAAAAACCTGATGCACCTCACACAATTCAAGCCAGCAGAAGAGGCCACAGCCTGAGAGAGAAAATGTGCTTGACTATAAAATTGCATAAACAGTCACAGCAATAATGATTTGGAAATTATACAGTTGCTTTCGATGGATAGTTAAAGTAAAAGTATCAGTCCTGGATAAGTATGAAATGATTGTTGTAGCAGGACACAAGAGTCCAAACTTTCCGCACATCTGAGGATCTCCATCACATGGCCGCAGATCCCAGGGATCTGCTGTGAAGATTCGGATCAACTCCCACAGCAGATGAGAGGTGGGCTAAAGACTTTAAAGCCATGTCTTACAGTGGAAACTCCTAATCCTGGCTATTCAGTGTAACGGAATCCCTTCTTCATCCTAGCTCTGTGCTACTAAAGCCCGGTTGACAAGTCTGAGCTCTTCCCCCTGTGAGGAACATGGCCCCTTGTGTCAAGGTACAGTAGCCCCAGCACAGGCCTACCTCTCAGTTCCATGTGAACAGAGCCTAGAGCCAGTCACTGGACTGGCCATCGGGAATATGTATGACTGACACTTTCTGTGGGTATGAGGAGCATCTGTGGCCAATGAAGGGAACAGATGGAAATCTGCCACCTGACCCACACTGCAGCCTTTCTCACTCATTTAGTGTCATTCTTGCCCCACCCACTGCACACTCCACCCAAAACCTTTTCTAATAAGCATACATGAGAAATATTTTCTAGCTTCAACTACCTGCTAGTTCTAATACCTACCAATGAAGGATGATGAAAAACTCTTTGCAATATAATTGGATAAATATCTTATTTAATATTCTTATTTTGCCTTTAAAATCTGCATATTTCCTCAGCTGCATCATGCACATTTGTGCATACGCAGTGGTGTCAGTCATTTAATAATCACGGAACACAACTTTAAATGCCTTAGAACTATTATATATTGTCCTTTTATACTTTTTCCCCATTAAAAAAAATCAAATCAAAAGCAGACTTCACTAGATACTTACAAAACTGAAGCAGGCAGTGTAGCTGTACAATGTAAAAGGCTGCACACGTCAATTAAACATGAGACTAATTAACATCCCCATCTGCTTACAGTTTGCATGCTAAGTTCCAATTTGCTGAATTTCACATGTGTTTTATATGGTAATGGCACTTATTTTCATCAGAAGCAGGGACATGTTTGTCAAGAATTATCTGCATGTCATCATAACCACAAAAATTGTGGCCTGATGTTATCTCCTCTTTAACTTTCTTGAAACCCTATGTCTCCCGTCTGAATCATAAAAGATTAAGGTCTTTGATTACCACACATACAGCTTTAAATTTCCCTGCCTCCTACACAAATGTAGGAATAAACATGGCCAGCTTAACAACTGGTTAATCATGCTGGAATTACAGCAATGGTGGGAAAGGATCCCAGAAATATTTGTAAGACCTCTTCTCAGTAGCCTTTTTAAATCTTTACAGATTGTAAAACTCTTGATTTCTATTTTAGGTTACCAGGCTGGAGTTTCTCTATAATAGTATTCTCTCTTTTTTACCCCAAGTTGTGAGTGAAAATGTGCACACTCATAAAACAGCAGTTGTGAAGCAGCTGTTGGTTATTAATATCCTCTTCAGATGAATGCACCTGAATGAGACCAGAATCAGTCTTACAGACCTTACCAATGTGATGAAAATGACATGAACCAGGCTGACCTGGGGTTCAGTCAGAAATCTATAATCAGTTCTTTCTGCACTCAGGTTTTTTTTTTGGGAATTTATAAACAAGCACTCGGTTCTATTTTACTGTATATTGATATGGCAACAAGAAAGCAATCTCCTTCAGTGATTTATTTGAATCGTGGTTTTGACTTTCACAGAACACAGACTAATATCAAAATGAAAAATAAAGAGTGTTTAGCCACTGAATGCAATTGGGTTCAGAACGACCTGTATAGCAACTAGGCTTATCAGCTCTGATCTCTCAGTGGTTTCCCAATTTCAATACTTCCCTATGTTTTCAAGGCCTAAGGCCTGTCTTGTCTGTGAGTTATGGACCCTGCAGCAGGAATTTCCGAACATTTGTTTGAACACAAGAGCCAAGCCTATAGTTGTGTTCCAGCACATTTTCCACCATTTTTTCCTTTAAGGAAAAACAGTCAAAGCAGGAACAACCTACTAAGGGTAAAACAAACAGCTGTGGATATTCAACCACTTAAAAATAGTTTGTTAGTCTGAATGCATTAAACTGACTATAGGCGCCAACTTTTCAAAATCCTTGGAGGTGCCTTTCTTGAAGCAGAATCACATTAACGAAGCATTCCTCTTCCTCTCTCGCATCTTAAAGGGGAACTGCAGCCTCAATTTCTCAGACCGGTTATTAAATGTCAGTAATAAAATAAATTGCTAAATTGTACAGGTTCCAATTTAAGCACAACATTGTGAACTTTGTGAAGGTACTGTATGGTCTCGCCAGGTGAGAGCAAGAGTTTGCAGGAAACCGTCCCTTCCTGCTCACTAGTCACTCCAATGACTAATGTAATGCGATATATTAGCGAGTACAGTAAGTACAGAATGTGCAGCAGACATTTAACCTCAGAAATGTTCCAATGTGATCTGCATGCAGAGTTAACAAGTTATATTTGTCAGCAAAGCTGTCTCAAAGTCGAGAGCAACATTTCTATCGGATTAAAATAGCTGTATTGACAAGCTTGCTTGTTTACAATGTACTGTAATCGGGCTGCATCACCTCACTGGAAGCTTTGTTGCCTCATTCCAAATCGCAGTGAGGGCAATATGGTGTTGTGTATACCTGAAAAGTTCATGTATGTTGTGATGTAAATGCAGGTTTTACACTTTACTGGGTATATTTTACTTTCATTGTGGTTTGAAATGCACACATCAATGCTGATTCTTTCTAACCCAAAATCTAAAAATAGCATTGCAGTTCCCCTTTAACATGAATAAAGAATTTCATTAATTGATGAAAGTGATGTTAACAATATAAACACAACAAGGAAAACAAGTTCCTTTACATTGACCTCCCGGTATTGAAGTTATTTAAGATGTCTTCAATGTTCAGTGAAACAGAATCTCTGGGAATTATGTGACACCGAACATTTCATTTTTCTTGGTGGAATACATCACTTCACACACTTTTTACAGAAGTCTTCTTCTTGTGATAAAAGATGTGATAAAAGCTTGCTTTGTGGTGAGCCAGATTGTACTTTCGTGTCAAATCCCTTCAGGTTCTGCCTCTGTTGAAAACTCCATCAAGACCTTTCACATCTTAATTTTAGCAAAAAAGTGTTCTCTTCTTATCAATAAACATGTATCAAGGGAAAGCTAATGTCCACTTTTCTTGAAATGTCCAGCCTTTAATAGGTTTTACTCTGGTACTGCTACTTCAACACTTTTCACTCGCTGACAGATCATTTTCTGTTACTATCAGAGGTCAATTCACAGTAAGTGCAGATACTGGGGCCTGTGTTTTTTTTAAATGTGGGCAGCATGTTGGTGCAGTGTTCAGCACTGCTACCTCGCAGCGCTGGGTTCCCTGGGATCCATTTCTGATCTCCCTGTCTTCGTGTGGGTTTCCTCTGTGTGCTTTGGTTCTCTCTCACAGTCCAAAGACATGCTGGTTAATTGGCTTCTGGGAAAACTGGTCCTGGCATGAGTGTCAGTGTCTCTGTGTCTGTCCAGTGATGGACTGGCATCCTATCCAGGGTGTATCTTACCCATTGGTTGCCGGGATAGGCTCCAGCTCTACCGCAAACCTTAATTGGATGAAGAAGTTGGAAGATGGATGGATGAGATGGATTACATATGCTTCCATTTCAGAAATTTATAGCTCTTTTAAAGCTTGCTCATTGGCCGGCGCAGACACCTTTTCTAATCAAACAGCAGTTAC